TAAATGCGCTTTTCTTTTGTTGCAACTTCGGCAATCTAGGTTTTCCTGGCAAGCTCCTTTCTGGGTAATAGCTAAGGTATCAACTACTTCTATATGCTTGCATGCTTTTTAAAAAGGTTTTGTGCTTAAGGGTGGTTCTCTGCTCTTACGTGTGGTGCCAGGCAGGGTTCAGCACCTGTGTTACTGCTCTTTATCTTCCCACTCAAGGGAGGTTGTAATTAACAGGGCTGAGTTCACTGCATTGTGCTCCGCAGTGAGGTTGCTGGTATGAATCAAGTAAGTTTTGTTCTATTAAATAAGAGAAAATCCAGGTACACTGGGGAACTCTTGGTGAAAGAAGTGACAGAAAGCTGGAGGAGGTTTTGCTTTCTGCATGACAATATAAAGTACTCAATTTCAAGTTATTGAATACTCCAGACTTGCTGCTTGTTGGCAGGGAGATTGGGCTAGATGATCTTTTGAGGTCCCTTCCAACCCCTAACATTCTGTGCTTCTGTGATTCTATTCCCTGCTGCCAAAACTCAACAGTTAAATTCTAATCTCTGTGTAATAGAGTATGCAGGCCTCTGTGGACCTGGGAAAGAAAATTGTTCTCTTCAGTATTAAGCACTATACAGATGTCAGGAGTCGGATAAAAGAGTCAACGACCCCACTAAAGAACTGAAATACAGGGAAAAGTGCTGTCCCAGATGTAGCCTGGAGGAAAGTTTTCTTCCACAACAGAAACAGATCGAGAACTTTAAAATAAGTTCCAAAGGAGTGAGAATGTTTTCTGTTATCTCATGTTTTGCATTGTTTTATTTGCAAACGGAGAAGAATGAGAGGCTATTAATGGCTGCAACCCCAGCAATCATTCGTTTTACTAAATGATTGAGAGGGTATTTTTTCCTCTGAATATTTTGTGCCAGGTAGACCCAGGCCCAGGCCTCACAAACGTTTATGTTTGTGCTAATCTTGGTTACCATACATACTGATCCTGGTCTTGGACATGTAGAAGAATAAAGTAACTAGAGGTCCAGTATAAGTGTTCACCCTTCACAGGTATAGATTGAGTGATCAACGTATGCTTTTCTCTAACATTTAGAGAATTCAAACAGTAAGTATGGCACTTGCTTCTGCAAACTGTGTGCATCTGTAACGTTCCAAAATGCTGCAATCAGAGGTACCTTTAAAGCAAACCTTGTTCAGTAATATACTTTCTATATTGCTCAATGTACTATTGCCGCTGTTCACATCAGTGATCCATACTAACCATCGTTCTTATTTTGAAGAAAAAGCTTTCTTTTTTTCTTTTCCTCACCCCCTTTTTTTTTCTCAGGAGAAAAGCAAAGAAGCTTTAGAAAGCTAGAAGCAAGGAAATGCTTTGTCATGGACTAGTGGGGTCCAAGGTGATTGCTTTCTGGGAATGAGTGGTGTTTTCACATGTTAAATTGACTCTGTACAGACATTACTGGTACTTCCAATAGCTTTTCAGAAGCAAAGAGGAGCAGAATCCAAATGACTGTTAGCAGAAAGAGGTCGTTTTGCTTTATCTTGGCTTTCTCCTGGTAGGTGAATATTATGTCATTCTTAGTTTTTAGGGGAGGTCAATATCATACCTGAAATAATTGATAATGGTTGTCTTGACCTTTTAACTCTTTACTTTAAGGCCTGTTGGAAACCCAATCTTTGCATGAAGCAGATGAAGATGTGGTCACTGATGTTGATTTCACCAGTGTGATTTCTGAAGAAGAAAAAGAAGAGTTAAAGATTGAGCTAGCCAAGGTAATGAATTTGAATTTCTGTGAGTGCTACTGTTTCTAATTCCTTAAACTGGAAGGTAGTAATTGTAGGATTTTAGTAAAATTATCCTAGGCTAACATAACATGAAACAATTAATTTCTTTATATATTTTTTAAGATTAATTATCTTTTACTTGATGATTGTAGAGAGAAAGTTAAATATACCTTACCATTTTAGTCAGGATATGTCTTTATTTATAAAGCTTCCTTTATAAAGAATGGAAGGTGTTCGTCTTGTTAGATCTATGATATTCTTGCTACAGTAGTTGCTACACCTGATGGAGAAGATTATTTGTGTGGTGCTCAGGGGAAATGCTGCTGCTGATGGCTACAGAAGAGACTATCTATAATGAGCGCAGTAATTTCACCACATTCTTGTTTCCTTTGGCACTGATGTGTTTGGAAAGGCTTATATTTTTGGTTTGCATTTGTTGTTTGCTTCATTGAAGAATTACTTCAGGGGATGTCATAACACCAAGAAGGAGTTTAAAAATAATAATAATAATAAGGAAATGGGAGGGAAAGCTGTGAACCATGTGGTCTTTTTATTATAAAGATTAAAGAGATTGTCTAGATAGTCTACAATAGGACAGATGATCAATTTTAATTACAGCTGCAGAATACTGCAGAAACAGAAGTGAAATTCCACACTGACAAATGAGAGAATGGGAAAAAATGAGGATTTTAAATTATTTTAAATATGAAACAAGTAACAGAAATCATAGCTGTGTGAAGGGAGAGAGTTGTTTGTGTCTTAATTGAAATAATGAATTTTAAAGACAGTAAATGGAAAACGTCACATAGCAAGAATAAAATAATAGCCCATTTGAAAAGTAGGAAACCCAACATTTGAGACTGTGACCATGTACCCTCAAAGCGTAAACTGGCTAGGGAAAAAGCATTCCATTATAATTGGTCCATAATGCTCTGTGAAGCGTTTGCTGCTGTTACATGCAGAATGGCCACACCCAGAGGACAGTTCTTTTGCAGAGATTGATCCTTGCCTTTCATAACACAGAAATATTTAAATTAATATTAAGTTGTAAGATTAAATACTCTAAGAAGCAACATTCTTAACAACTCTCAAGTCATTTACCTTCAGCACTGTTTAGGCTTTTCTAGTGAAACAAAAAGCAAAAGATTGTGTTTTCACTTTACTGTTTTATTAGGCCTTATGTTTCTGAGTTGCTAGTTAATTTTTACTTCTTTATTGAAACTTCTTTACTTCTTTAGCTGAAACTTTACATGGTCAGTTCATTGCATAGTGATGAGATAGGATGGGATGTTCGTTATTGGCTTTTCGTCAGCACCAGAGGCGAGGGTCACACATAGAAACACGGGAGATTTCCTCTAAACATCAGGAGACTTGTTTTTACTATGAGTGTGACTGAGCACTGACACAGGTTGCCCAGAGGAGGTTATGGAGTCTCCATCCTTGGAGATATTCAAAGGCTATCTGGGTACAGTCCTGGGCAACTGGCTCAGTATGGCCCTACCTTGAGCAGGGCAGTTGGACCAAATGACCTCCAGAGGTCCCTTCCAACCTCAGCCATTCATTCTGTGAAAGGGACTTAAGAGGTAGGTGAAAATGGAAGAGAAAAAGAGCTTCCTGCAGCCATCTGAGAATGGTAGGACTCTCTCGGTCCAGTTAATCTCAGGAGTTAGTGGTTATCCTTCCTGCTTGCTGATTCCTGTGGGAGCAGAGAGTTCTCGGTGGCTCGTGGTAGAAATGCTTTAATTCGTGTACCAACACACAAGATTGCCTTTCAAATATTATGATCTTGGCTGACCCAGAAATATTATCTGAATTGCTCACAGCAGGTGCTGGCATACAGTTTATGCTTAGAAACAAAATAAACCCAATAATTATGTTAAGAAAGGCTTGGAAAACTTGAATTTAGAGTTTACAAAGTCTAAACTTAAATGAGACTTATGATTCTTAGGAAAGGCTGTAAAAAGGTGTAAGACTTTGACTCCTTCATAAAGAAGTCTCTGTGGGAATTGGCTAATGTTTCCTTTTGAAAAGCTGTCACTCTTTCAAGCCCCCTCTGCTCCACTGTTGGTAGTTTTGTTTCCTTCTATGCTCATATGTGTTAGGCAATACCTATTTGAGCCTGTAGGAACAAGCACCATTCTTCTTATTGTTTTTGATGGTTCAAAACTTCCTTAATGCTGCAATCACTTAGTAGTTGATATAATGGGGAGCTGTTGTGAGCACCTGCTGTCCATGTATTTAAACAGAAAAAATACCTTCCATCGCTATGTTGTGTATCTGCTGTATATATTTTGTCATCCTCTTTTTCCTTCACTCCCCAACATTAGCAGGGAAACTAGCACTACTGGTTTTTCCGACAGGTTTTCTATATTTTCTTTTTCTATTCCCCTGCTAGTAGCCTGTCTGTACTGGAAGCTTTTCAGGGCGGGGTCTAACTCTACTCTTGTATTTGTAGTCTGGCTAACACAGCAGGGCCTTGACTCTTAATCGAGCCTTGGAGTTTCTACACTGTGAGTGAAATGAGCAGCTCTTACAGAAACTTCTAACAGACATTTGAATTAACAGCAGTCAGTCTGCCACTTCGGAATAATAGCGGAAAATTGTAGGCTGAAAACTTTATATAGGGCCAGAAGCGTGTTAGCAGAACAGATTTTTTTTTTTATTTTTTTTTTTTCCTTTCCTCCCTGACTGTGAAGATCATGGTACAATGACTCTTGAGTCAAGATGGGGCTGAGGTTTTGAGCTATCTCACTCACTGCTGTCAGTTGTCCTTCCATTACACTCATCAAAGCAGTCATTTACTCCTTGCTGTCTTCCCCCTCCCATACCTTCACAAAAGCAGCTATCTGGTTTGATCTACAAGCTTTGAAGATGATGTACAGGTTCTAAGTTCAACTCTGTGTGTTACTGCTTATTTAATCCCAGTTTGAGGAAAGATGTACCTTTCTCTGCAAACTTAGGACTAAATTTAATTATGTGTGTCCGTGATATCTCTGGGTACTGCTCACCCAAATAAAAACTTACAAATTGGCATGTACTCGGCCTGGAGGTCTAAAATTTGAGCTATGTGCTTCGGTGCAGAGTGCCTTTTATTTTTTGTGCTGTGTTATTCTGTTCGCAGTTACAACTGCTTTCTTTAAAAGGCTACCATAGTAAGCTGCTCACATTTCTCTACAAATATTTTATGCATTTAAGTATACATGTTGTAATACTCGGCACTTTTGAAAAGGGGTGACAATTCAATAACAATTACTGCTTTACTAAATACAATGAAAATCTAAACGTCCTGTGGACTGGCTTCACTGAGAGACAGCTCTTCTATATGTTTGCCATTACTTTCTTCATTTCTTCTGACATAAAAAGGATTATGTGAAAGAATGGTATAGAGAAGATGCAGTTTTGTGATGTGGGATTTTTTTTTAAGCCAGTGGAATGAAGGGGGTGTTGGACTAGATGATCTTTTGAGGACCCTTCCAACCCCTAGCATTCTGTGATTCTGTGAAGGAAGAGAGTATTTTCTTCCTTGAAGTGAGCTCCTTTCTATTATCAAGTATCCCGTCAGAGTTGCTCTTCCTACCAGTGTTATAGCTGGTTCTTCCTTATTAGGTTGTTTGTCTGTTCCTCCCCCATGTGCTGTACCCACACAGTTACTTCTTCACCTCTCTGCAATGGAGCTAGGAACTGATCTGGCTTTAAAATAGCCCTTGTTTTTTTTTGTGATAGCTTTTGCCTGCTTCCAGCTTCCTGTCATGAGAAGGGCTGTGCAAACAGCCAGGCCAGGCCACTACACATGTGATGTAGTGGTAGGAAAAAGGTTGCTTCGTCTAACTGAGAAGCGTACGTTGAGCTGTGCTGGCTTCTGCTTTCTAGTGGAGACCCTTAATATTTTAATCACTTACTGCCTTGATCTTTAAAGCAAGCATAATATATACTCGATTTACTATTCAACCCATTCATCAGTATTATTCCAACCAATAGCTGAATCTTTCCACCTCCACATTTTACATAGTACTATCTCAGAATATAGATAATACCAACAGATGTAATTTTTTAGTAATACTAGTTTATCCAAAGTGCTCCATTTTACTGAATAACTACTTTCTGGTTTGTTTTTCTCTGAGCTGTTTTGTGAGTGTCTACTGGAAAAAAATGGGGAAAGTTATGCATTAGAAAATTACGGAGTTAGGTTTTGTTCAGGCACACCAGCATCTTAAAAGGATGTTCAGCCCTGTAAAACATACAATTTGCCCTAAAATGGTCAAAAAAGGCAAAACAAGGGAAAATACTTTTCTGTGTTTATATGCTAGATTTCACTGCCCTTCTTCCGTATTACTACTCAGTCACAGATTTCAGAGAGATCTATAATGTGAATTTTTTCCTAGGGTCTCACCATTGTGTGATTTACACGCTACTCCTGTCAGCTAATCATGACAATTGTAAAACCTTAGGTGGGCAGCTCCTCTCCTTGTTTTTGCATGTCCCATAGATAACAGAGGAAGGAAAAAACAGCTGTTAATTCTGATTCCTAAGCTCACAAAAAGGGAGAAGGAAACTTTTCCCCCTTTATGGTACACCTATGTTTGTGTAACTGTGTTGCACTTAGAAAGAAGAAAAACATGAGGACTAGAGGCTTGTATTTTTGTTGGCTTAAGCCCTAGCTTTGTAATAGAGCCTGCATTTATAAGAGCGGACTTTTCAAAAATGCCTAAGCAGGTGATGCCTGACTTCCATGTGAGGTAGGTATGTAACCTGCTTAAATGCTTTTCAAGATCCTACTGTAAGTCCCTAATTCTTTCTGCCTGCTTCACAGTTTTCAGCCACTGATACCTGAATCTGCCATTATTTTTAAATGATGGGACTTGAGAAAGATTTTGTCAATTCAGAAGTGATCTCTAAAGAAAAATAATTTATTATTTTTAATACAGTCAAAATATTGTTCATATTTAAAGCCACTGAGCACATGGTTCGTGCTTGCTTAGGGCTTTACACCTCTAGGTGTCTATTTAACAGAGCAGATGGAAAGTAATTCTAGTAGAAGCCCTCAAATGTTTATATATCCAGGTACCTAATGATCAGTCTAGTGCTAGCCCATATGGAAAGCACTAATAAGTACATGTAAGCATACTGGTATTAGTTGAAGTTAAGTTCTTCAGCAGCGTTACTCAGGCAGGCTCGTGCTCTGAGGGGTTTGCTGTGGGTGGGAAGCAACTGAAGGGAGCTCGGAACTGCTGTCTGAGGAATGCTGGCATCTGTGATTTCTTCTTTCTGTGAGCATTTAACCAGTTATCCTCTTGGAATAGAAACTCATGCTGCCTCTTGGCAGCATTTCATTTAGGAATATAGTGGAACATAAAGGACACGTGAAGGAATAAAGCGATTTTGGACTGTCACATGTTGGCATCACAGGCATTGGTGAATACTGATACCTGCTTCACTGAGGTCGTGATTTTGCTTTGTGTTTGTAGTCGTGCTGCTTAATTTCTGAGCTACTTCAGTAATTTAAATGGCAGGTAGTGACAAAAGAGCAACTGATAGCTGAGGAATTCACGGGTGAGACCTTTCCAAGAACGGTGAGCTTACAGCCAGTTTTACAGGGAAACAGAACACCTGAGTGTGTAAAATAAAAATAATGCTGGTACTGACATCCTAAATATAGCCCTGGGGGTCAGCAACCAATTCATCTGGTGCTTGCCTCACTGCCTGCAGCCCATGGAGTTAAATCACAGGGAGACTGTGGTTCCAGGGAACTTGGCATATGGTTAACAGCCATATTACCATATGTTACTCTATTAACATATGGAGGAAGGAACACAGTTGGTAAGGGAATTTCTAAACCTGAAGTGAAAGGCAGCTGCTCTGGTGTCACTTACCCTTGTTAGCTTCAGTACCTCTGAGTTCTGCTTGTATAATTAATTGGCTTGGGAGGCTTCCTGACGAAGGATGTGAACCTGGGCTGACAGGAGTGCTGCCCAAGGGGGAGGGTCCTAAGCCAGTGGCAGCCTTGATTCAACGGTCCCTCCTCTCTGTTCTGGTCCTTGCCTTGCTAAAACACTGGGTTGATTTAAATATTTCAAATCATATCCACTACAGGGAGAATTCCGTCCCTCTGTTTGGGCTGAGTGTTGTCTTTACAGCTTGAATTTGCACAATTTGGTTAATGACTAGGAGCTCCAAAAAGACTAATATGCTGTGTCTTCTGAATGCTTGTGTGCTTTGGGTAGGACCTGTTTGCTCATGTTAAAAGTCCATCCACTACATATTTTTATGTTACTATTTTGAAATATGTAGGGCCTAAAATATATAGATGAAACTAAAGTGACAAAGACATAACTTTTTATGATACTCTCAAGTCGTATGCTATCGTGCGATTTGGGTTTTTTTAACCTGCTCCTAAGAATTTGCATCAATATTTTTCAAGAGTGGAAGATGAAAAGCTGCAAATGTGAGGTTGAAAGCCTATGCATTCAAAGCAAGATATTTGCCTGAATTATCCAGTCTTCTCCTGCTTTGCCCATTCCCATTTTACTAGTGAATGAAAAACTGATGCTAGAGACTCCTAATGTCCTAAGGCAGGTCTTGGTCACATGCTCAATAGTTCCTCACTGGAGAATTCTGTCTCTTATCAGATACATGCATGTGACATTGCACACAGGTAGCACAGTTTGAGACATTAACGTGTTGTCATCTCTGTTCTGGACGTGTCTTTGTGATCTCTACAAGCACTTGACTCTTTAGTCATCTTCAAAAAATGCAAGTTTACGCGAGACTCATTTAATCTCTTAACATTGTAAGCGTTTTATTGTTCCGTGGGAACAGGATAACGCCTTTCTCCTTTCTCCTCCCCCTTTGTTTCTCTCAGCTAGAGGATGAAATTTCAACTTTGCGGCAAGTGCTAGCAGCCAAAGAAAAGCACCTGGTTGAAATTAAACAGAAGCTTGGCATAAGTCTGATGAACGAACTGAAGCAGAACTTTAGCAAAAGCTGGCATGATATGCAGACAACTTCTGCGTGAGTACAGACCTTGCACAAATTCACCCTTATGTGTTGTGTAGCATGTTGGGGTTATTGTCTTGATGAGGCCTGGCATGAAATAAGAACTGAAATACCTGCCAGGAGAAGTAGGCGGCAGAGAAAAATATGTCACGCTTTTCAGAGCAAGGAGACCTGAAAAAAAAACCCCATTGCGCAGCAGCAATGTGCTTTGCTGCTGTGTTCCACCTCACTCTTGCAAAATTGCAGCAGTTAAAGCTATTGTGGTCCTGAGAAGGTTATCTTCCTGTCCCATGACACTTTCTTACAGGAGGAGAGAAAGAATCTTTTTTAACCTCAATGTATTGTATTTTTCAATTTCCAAGAAAGACAATGTAAAAAAAAAATTAAAGAAATTACCAAAACATTAGAAACTGTTTAAAAAAATAGTACCATCATCTGAATTATAAAGAATACTAGCAGTATCAGTTGATGTTTGAGGCTCTTTAGTTCCTGCTTTTGCTTCTCCAAAAGCAACAGAAGAAAAATTTTGGAGTTTATCCTAAGTCCTGCATATGTCAAGTTATTTGTTATTTTCTAGAAGTATGTTCTCTAGACAAGTCCCTGAAGCCTCTCACAGCCTTTGTTTACCCCTGTGCAGTGTGTGTAACTAGTTCACAAGAATTTAGGGAAACTCACCTCGAGGAATAAGTAAGCAGCTTTGAGTTCCCAGAGTGAAAGGTAATGAAGAAATATGAAGAACTGTTACTCTACTGCTGTTGTTGAAATGGATCTAACTTGTTTTGGTGGTTTTTTTTGAACCAGACTAATTATACTGTAGAATTCTGTAGTCAAAGTCAGTTGCTGCTTTCCAGGAGGGTGGATTTTAAACATACACCAAGTTCTTGGATGAGGAAGCAGGGGAGGGATGTTATTTGGGCTGTATCTTGCTGCCAAGAATTACCCATGCAAGCCTTTTGTCTCATATAAGGAAGGAGTTGAAAATAGATGTATGGATATAGTGATAAGACTTATCTTGCATCTGCCACAAAAAAAACGCTGAAACCCAGGATAGAAAGTGTTATGTGTAAGCTTCAAACACTTTTTGCTCTGTGTCTCTGATGAAGCATCACTGAGAGAGAGAGCAAATAAAACTATGAGTTCCAAAGCTCTAGGAAGGCCATGAAAATAACTGAGGGATTGGCCTCAGCTCCGTACCGATCTTTATACTTACGCATATGAATATACCATGTTCCTTTAAACTTTTTGGGCTGAACCACCCACCTTTCATCAAGTGCTGTCTGAAAAGTTACTTGATGTTTTTTTCCTTCTTTTTCTTTTCATTTGACAACTGAATTTGACACTTAGGGAGGAGTGAGCTGCTCCACAACAGAGCTGAACTGGGAGTTGACAGCAAGGCAGGCAGGGCAGCAGCATCACCCACGAAGGAGCAGTCCCACAGTACCTGGACAAAAAAGCAGAGCAGGTCCAGTGACAGTAAACAGGGTCAAGCCAAGAGTTCAGATCTCTGGGCTAGTCTGCAGTCACGAGCCAAGTCCAAGGTCAAATCTGTTGGCGGAGATCAGTGAGGTACGTGGCCAGGTACAGGCACACCAGTCATGGGACTCAGGCAAGGACTAAGGGCTTAAGAACACTTTAAGCTTTGCTGTAGCTCTCAAGTGAGGAGATGTGTCTAGCAAGGTTTCTCGCAACACAGGTTTCTTCTAACACAGCACTGTTCCCACAGTCTTACCCAAGGTTACACAGTGGTGCAGTGTCAAAGCTGGCCTTGAGCCGGCAGCCAAACCCATGGCAGCAGGGAGTAACAGTTAGTAGTGCGTCTTGGTGCGCTTAAGGCCCTGTCAGAGACTTGGAAAAAAATGTGTAAAAATGTACATTTTTTACATTAAAATAATAATCCTTTGTGTTTTAATGAGAAGTCAAGTAAGGTGTAAGCCCCCTAATAAGAAATGTAGTTTGAGTGTCTCCTATCTCTTACTTTTGGAGACTTTCTCAGCTAGGTTGTGTTTCTCATGACATGTCATTAACATGGATGCCCATGCTGGCTTGGTGAGGATGTCTGGCATGTGCTAAGAGAGGATAGTCCAGTGACACTGAGCTTTAGAAGAGAGAAGGGGCACGAGACACCTGAGCTAGAGTTACTAGGATACACTAACAATATTTTGAAACAAAATCTTTAATTTTTACTTAAGATTTGATAGTAAATTCCAAGACAACTTTTCATTTTCCACAAGGACAGAGAGGCTTTAGGAGACTTTATTGGTGTTTGAGTTTCAAAACCAACAAACTATTAGGTGATGAGTGGGCACAAGTAGTAACGTGGAGTTGAGCAGCAGGAGTCCGTTTGTGCCCTTGAAAATCCAGATGTCCATGGTCTCTGCTGTTCTTTTCTGGCTGACACTCATGCCAGTACAGTGATGCCAGTACAAATCACCGTAATCTGGCATTCTTCAGAATGGATGTTTTGAGTAATAGAGGTGATTCATTGTTGATGCACCAAAATAGCAATAGCATAGCGTTACTCACCAAGATTCTCTCATTTAGTAAGGATGAAGAGCCTGTTTTAAAAAATAAAAGTTCAAAATATTTGCATGGCTGTACTTCAGGCTTCTAAATCCACAATCAGTAATTTTAAATTTTGAAAAGACCTATTTTCAAGGAGGCAAATGTTACTTTCACTCATTCTTACTGGGTTTTGTAGCTTCTGTGCTTTCCTGGAAGTTAAAACCACTTTACTTTAACAGGGAATTTTTTAGAGCCAAAAAGAAAAATGAAGTACTAGAATTTTGTCCTCTTATTGTTGTTAATCTTTTTAAGCTCTCCATGTGGGGGTGGATTCTTGAGGGTAAAGTGGTCTTAGAGTCAGAAGGGTGGACTTCTCTCAGAAAAAGTTCTGTAAAGTGTGACTGAAAACTAGTTAAGACTCATGACCCAACTCACTGGCTGGATGCCACTTGAGATGACTATATTTAACTTTGAGATTCTAACTACTTTTAAGCATTTACATTTTAAATGGCTGGCCACAGGTAGTCTAGGAGTTAGCCTGAGCATGCTTAACATGTAATGTTAGAAATTGTCATTAAAGGATTGCTATGATTAAAAAAGAAAAAAAAAGTAATACTTCTTATACTGAGGAGAGCTAGAGCTGGAGATCAATGGGCAATGTCCTCCACAGATTGAAGGTTGTGTCAGGCTCAACATACGGTTCCGTACAAAGTCTGTCTCCTTGTCATCATGTCATGCTTTAAGGCATGCAAAAGCAGTTCTAACTATCTTTAGTAACACATTACATTTGCAACAGTAATGTGCAGATATTTTTTGTATCAAATCAGCTTTTTTTTTAATCTTTAGCTTTGTTTTTCTCTAAAGAAAGCCTGTAATATTGTTTGCATTTTTCAGCATTGTATGAAATACACTTGGAAGTCTTTCACTTATGATGATGACCAGAATCATAATGCATCTTTCAAGTTCCTTGTACATTTCCTGTGCTATTCTTCAGTGCACTGATTTTTTTGTATAATCTATAAGGCGATGAGTTCTACTATAGAGGATATTGGTAACTAGAGAGCAAAATTATTGCCTCAAGTTTAATTTGCCTGCTTGGATAAAGCATTCAACTGGAATGACTTCCCCCACACACCTTTCTAAAATCAGGTTTCCTGTAAGTAGAGGTGGGTGGATATTCAGATAGCTTCTAGCAATAGTTTTTTTAATTTATATTTTAAACATAGGTAATTCATTCTTATTTAGATGCCAGAAACAGGGTAATGTTGGCGGATTTTGAGATTATTTATTTTATATTAAGAAATCATTAAAATGTCTTTACAGGGATATTTACAAAGACCATAACTGAGCTTTTTTAATTAACATTTTGCTACAAACAAAAGGTTTTATGTAACCTGGATGCAATACGTTTACTTAGTTAAAGCTACTTGACTGGTGGTGCTTCAGGAAAGTTCCCATGGCTCTCTCTGGCCTTCCTGTATTTCAGATTTTCACTGCATAGTTCATTAAGGTAAGAAGATAGCTTCTCTAAAGATTGACCTAGTTTTATACAGAATCACAGAACAGATAAGGTTGGCAGTGATGTCAGGAGTCTCCTTAGTTCAACTTCACCTTTCAGAGCAGGGTCAGCTAAAGCGTGGTTCTCGGGACTATGTCCCATCAGGTTTTGAATGTCTCCGAGATTGGAGACTCTATAGCCTCTCTGGGCAACCTGTTCCATTACCCTCATTACCTGTTCAATTACCCTTACTGTGAAAAACCTTTTTTCTTTTTTTTTTTTGAATATTTCTTGTATTTGATTTGTGCCCATTGCCTTTTACACTTTCACTAGATACCACTGAGAAGAATTTGCCTCTGTCTTCTCTAATTCCTTTCATCAGGTTGTTTACACACACTGATGAGATGTTCCTGTGAGTCTTCCCTTCTCTAGGCTGGCCAGTCCCAGCTTTCTCATCCTTTCCTCGTATGAAAGGTGCTCCAGTCCCTTAGACCTCTTTATGGCTCTTCGCTGGACTTGCTCCAGTACATCCACATCTGCCTTGTACTGGGGAGCACAGAACAGGACCCAGCACTCCAGGTGTGGCCATAACCAGGGCTGAGTAGAGGGGATGGGTTACCCCCCTCAAGCTGTAGTCTCTCAAGGTACTGTTAGCCCCCCGTGCTGTGAGGACACACTGCTGACTCATGTTCAACTTGTTGTCTACCAGGACCCCAGGTCTTTTTCTGTAAGGCTGCTTTCCAGCTGCTTGATCCTCTGCCTCTGCTGGTGCATGGGGTCACTAATCCCAGACTGCAGGACTATGCATTTGCCTTTGTTGAACTTACTGAGGCTCCTGATGCCCCTTTTTTTTTTCAGACAGTCAAGGTCACAAGTAGTAGTATTCCTTAATGCATTTACGGAATTGCATTGCATTATATATGGAGAAGGTGGCAAGGGTTAATTTATCCTCTTCACCAGCCCCTCGCATGAAGCACTAAGGACATAAATCCACGAGTTACCTTGGCCTTTGTAA